GGGAGGGGTGTGGCGTACCGCAAAACGGGACTCCACGGGATACTGTTCATCTCCACCATCGACCTTCTCCAGCCTCCATGGGCTACTGTTCATCCACTGTCGACCTCCTCCAGCCTCCACCTGCGACTGTTCATCCAGTCTCCACCGCGCGCTACTTCACCGGCTACTGTTCAACCAGCCCTCTCCAAAGGCTACTGTCCATCCAGCCATCCACGGGCTACTGTTCACCCAGCCCTCCACCGGCTACTGTTCAACCAGCCCTCAACGGGGTTGTCCTGTTCATCCAGCCCCAACCGGCTCGATCGATCGGGGTCCTGTTCATCCAGAGGCAACCACGGGATCCTGTTCATCCACCCCCACTGGAAACTATTCATCCAAACCCCCCAGCAACGCTCACTGTTCATCCAAATCCCCCAGCTGCAACGCTCACTGTTCATCCACCCCCCCAGCAACGCTCACTATTCATCTAGAGGCAGCATCGATCGACTTCAGTTAGCAGCAGTAGCGAAGGAATCGCTCGATCGCTCGGGTTCAGTAACGCGTAGCTTGCAGTGCAATCGATCGGGTTCAGTTAGGCGACGCCTCGCTCGGGTTCAGTTAGAGCCCAACGCTTCACACCCACGCGCATACGGTATGAGAGAAACGCGCATCGCTCGGTCCCCGACCACCCACCGTAACCGGGAATTCCCCGATATTTTCCTCGCCCTCGCTTCTACCACGGGTTTTCCGTTATGGACGACCCAAAGAATGTCATGCAGCTGCGTCTCCGGCCCGCCCAGGACGAAAAGTCTATTTTCTGTCATGATTTTTGTCATAGAAGTAGGAGCCCACCACATCTATGATGATACCGGATTTTGTCACAATTATCGTTATAGAAGTGTTATAAGTATGACAAATTTTTTTCGTTCGGCCCAAAATGTCACGAATGTGTCTTTTTTTTGTAGTGTTGCTAGAGTATTTGTTTTGTCTTAGCCGCATGGCGGCGTGTAACAACACCTCTTCTTAGTCAATGAAAATGACAAGTTTTTTTGCCTTTGTTTCAAAAAAAGAGGGACGTTACCATGAAGGAAGAAGAAGAGCACCGTGCCATGAGTATGCATGACATTTCTCTGGATGATGACTTCCGCCCAGCTAGCTTGAACGAGTCCACATGAAGCAACCATGTGTGCGTCATGGCTCGGGGTGTGCAAAACCGAACCGGAAAACAAAAACCGAGCCGAAATTTCGGATTTTTCAGGTTCTGGTTATGGTTTCAGTTTGCAAAACAACAAACTGAATTCATTTCGATTTTTTTTGATTTTAAACCGAAATAATTCGGTTAAACCAAACAAAACCAAAATCATCCAAGTCAGGCATCCATGGGCTTCAAAATAAATATTTATTCCTCTTTTTAGTATGCGCCTAGCCTCCTACCAAAAATCGTATAGAACGGACCGAAACGAACCAGCACTGGCCCATGCTTCGTGTTATTCGCGATCTCGCGTCTGCCGCCGCCGCGGACTACGTACATCTCCTGATCTAGCGCGTCGTCAGTGATCTTGCCTCAACGAATTGCACACAAAAAAGAGATTAAATTAAGGTTAACTGTTAGAATAAGATTACTGGGTCTAATCATACAATGAAAATGGGTTTGTAGGGTGCATCTAGAGAAGATAATGTCTGCTTTTTTATAAGTACAATAGAGATAGAGATAGTAGAGATACGTACAAAAAATAGATATAGGAACGCGCGATCGTAACCGAAATCTCCGAGGACAATCCACCCGTCCGTGATTTGCCCCCACCCACGTGGACCGAGGAGAAACATAAAGCCAACTCCAACTGGCCGATGCAAACAGACACCCCTTTTTTACAGTCTTCGTCCCTTTTTTACAGTCTTCGTCCATTTGGGTCGTCCGAATGGGCGGCGTCTGGCCTCAATCGTGTTTTTGCCGCCAGTGCGCCCAAACTACTAACCCATTTTGTCCGCCCGATCGATATTCCAAATTTTAACATTTTACATTCTATGCACATGAATACAAATAAAAGTTCACATAATTTTTATTACATTACAATATAGATAGTTTACAACCAAAAAAAAATCTCATGGTTTACAAAACCAAATTAATATAAAATTGTCACAAATACATCAACAAAACATGTGATACATCTATTGGTTGCCTAGATGAGTCTACATATGGTCAACCAAATCATTTGAGGTTGAATGTGAGTTTTCCAATCATGCATGTCATGATGAAAATGGATGAACTCTGCAAACGTTGTTGATCCATGCTCAGGCTCAACATTTTCATCTTGAAAATCAAACCCTTGGTCGAAGATGTTGTCATCACGCTCATCTTCTACTATCATGTTGTGCATGATCGCACAAGCAGTCATCATAGTCCACATCTTTTGCAGGCTCCATGTTCTGGCAGGGTGCCGAACAATAGCCCATCAAGATTGGAGCACATAGAAAGCATGCTCCACATCCTTGCACTCTCTTGTGCTTGGGCAAACCTAACCCGCTTCTCTACCGTCGGCATGGCGATTATCTTCACAAGAGTTGACTCTGAGAATAGCTACCATCAGCTAAGTAGTATCCCTTATTGTAGTGGTGGCTATTGACCTCATAGTTGACCTCTGGGCAATTGCCTTCTGCAAGTCATGCAGACATCGGAGACCGTTGAAGCATGTGATGTCATTGTGAGAACCTGCCACGCTGAAGAAAGAGTATCAAATACAGAGGTCTTGTGATACCACAACTTCAAGTATGACCGTGCAATCTTTAACATGCCCCTTATACTGCCCCTGCCAAGCAAATGGACAGTTCTTCCACTTTCAGTGCATACAATCTATGCTATCAAGCATTCCCAGAAAGCCTCTAAATTCATTGATCGCCAACAATCGGGTTGTATCCACAACATTTGGTTCTCTCAAATACTCTGGGCCAAACATTGCAAGCACGATTTTGCAGAACCTATACAAATGATTCAAGGCATCTGGACTCACTCATGCGGACATACTCAACCACAAGATCACCGAAAATTTCGTATGCAAGCATCTGGATAGCTGAAGTGCATTTATGATAAGAGAACAAGTCAACCCTTCCGAGGGCATTATTCTTCCATCTAAAGTAATCATCATACTCCACCACTCCCTCTCGATTACGATTGAACACATGTTTAGCCATCCGAAAGCATCACTGAAAAAGCTTGTCATTGTAGAACGGGAACGCGCACTGGAAATAATCGATATAGAGTAGGCAATGGCCGCTCTCTCTTTTATGATTCAACGCCAGAGCATGGCTCTGGATCGACCAACTAAACATCGAACGCATCCTACAAATGTGCTTATTGACGACCATAATAGCAACCATAAAGTCCTCATGTTCGGACGATGAATCATCCGATGAACATATGATGTTGTTGTAAAGAAAACTCATCATCACTATCAACCATGGTACCTTGTTGACAAAAGGCCGAACACATTGCGGGCGGCAACAGAGTCGCGCGTGGGGGGAGTCGTGACCAGTGAAGGGCAGCAGAACTATTGACGTCTGCGCCCTCCGGTGGTGCCTGTTGAGGAGAGGGCGGTGTCGACGACCCTTGGCAGGCGGCCCTTTTCCTGCCACGACGGCGGCCCCAGACGCCAACGTCGGTGGACGCAGTGGTGTGAATAGGTTGGTGGATTCGATGGGGAAGTTGGTCGATGCCAGCCGCGCCTGGGCATCAGCACGAGGACGAGGAAACGAGTAAGGAGGGGTAAGTGGGTAATAATCGCCGTTGTGACACTGAAGGATGAATCAGGGAAGGACGAGGGCGGGCGTCGCTCTGAGTTGCGACGGACAAAAAACAAGCACCGGTCATTTACGTAGGCGCGTTGGACCGTGTTTTCCATCCGAGCGGACCCAAACCAAACAGGTTGAAGTTGGCCTAACAAAGGCGAACACAGCGAGGCGAGGAGCATTAGGGGGCGCTTGAGGAGGCGGCGCGAACGGCGAACCCTAGTCTTCCTGGCGACGGCGGTAGCTCGAACGCGACGGCGGCCGCGAGCTGCGCCCACTCCAGCCAGGCACGGGGCCTCCCGGCTCACTCCCCGCTCCGGTGCCCCGCGCCGCTCATAGAGTGCTTTTTTTTTTAGGGATTCTCATAGAGTGCTGGAAAAGGAAGCCGCAGTCGCGAAAAGCCCACCCGTCCCGCCCCGGCCCGGCCCGGTTGCAGCGCTAGATAGTACAAAAGGGCCTGGTTGAAGCTCAAAGCGAGCGCACGCACGATGAAAGCGTAAAAGCCAAGGGAAAAAAAGAAGGCAAAAAGAGAGAGACGGGGGAGGCACCAAAATACCACTGCCGCTACGTTCCCCTCTCCTTCCTTCCTCCACCGCGCCGAAACCCTCGCCGCCGCCGCCCTCGGATTCCTCGCCGCGGCGGCGATCACCGCTCCGCCTCCCGGTGGCCGCGGCGGGGACGCGGGACCCTCCCGCCGCGCCATGATCTCGCGCCTCCACGCTCCGGTGCCCCGCGCCGCCCTCCAATGTGAGCCCCTCCCTCTCCCCCCCTTCCCCTTCCCCGCCGCGACCTAGGGTTCTCGCTCTCTCCACAAGGCGACCGACCGAGCGCGCTCCCGTGCTTGCTCTGCTTCTGTTGGACTCTTTTACTACTTGGCACGCCCTATTTTCCTGCGATTCCCCCCCGTCTTTACCTATTATTGGAGGATTCCTGGGGCGCCTTCTGCTGGCTGGGTTGGAATTTGATTTCTTGTCCTCCTTTCCCATCCTGGTTTCTTGCAAGCCTTCTTGCAAAGAAGCCGCGACTTTTACTGCGCAATTCAGAGTTAGTCCAAAGCCAGGTCTTTTTTTAGTCTTTACGCGCATTCCGCTCCAGATTCTTTTCTCCCTTTTCTCGATGCGTTTTCCGTACGCTGGCATATGCAACTGGAATTCTACTAAACCCTACTCAATTCATGTCTGCAATCTTTCACAGAGGAAGGAAGAGAGAAGGAGACTCTCTCTCTCTCTCTCTCTTTCATGCAGCCAGGGATGGAGTCCCTCCAAGGGAAGGAGAGCAACGGCGCCGTTCCTGACTGCAATGGGGCTGCTGCCCCCCCTGCGAAGCAGCAGCTGCCGGAAGGGGCTGACGCTCTTCGCTATGCCAACATCCTCCGGTCACGCAACAAATTTGCTGATGCTCTCCAGTTGTACACTACCGTGCTTGACAAGGACGGAACCAATGTGGACGCCCTTATCGGAAAAGGGATCTGCCTCCAGGCCCAGAGCCTGCCAAGGCAGGCCTTGGATTGCTTCACCGAGGCTGTCAAGGTCGATCCCAAGAATGCCTGTGCTCTCACGCATTGTGGGATGATATACAAAGACGAGGGTCACTTGGTTGAGGCCGCAGAGGTATGGAGCAATCATTCTCTCATCTATCTGCTGGCTTGCTGGTTCTTGTGAGGTGTGTCTCAGAAAAAGCACACTTTGTTTTTTCATAGCATTGTTGTTGTTATTGTTGTGAACAGCTAAACACCTGAAATCTTTGATTGAGTATGTGCCTTGAATCTGATCTATTCCTCCATGTTGACCTGAATGGATGATCTGGCATTAGTATGTTTCCTGAAATTTAGTTTTTTGTTTTTGTTTTGCAGAATACAAGTTAGATCTAAAAGCTAATTTAAAGGGCTCTTTATGAACTTCCGTTTTATGCTAAGTTTGTCCAAATTAACCTAGCCATCAGTGTGTCCTGTGTAGTGCGTATAATCTCTTGTGTGACGGAATTACTGTTTGACAGTCTAGCTGATGTGGGTAGAAAGCACATAAGTGTTTGCTAAATCTGGGCAGATGACAACTGCTGTAAAAGAAAGCAGGATTCTGCTTGGAATGTCTATGCATACTATTTCTCCCTTTAGAGAACACCAACCCCTTACATTTAGTGTGAGTACAAGAAATCCTAACCAATCTTAGTTCGTTAGGTTAAACATCATACTGTCCAAAACTGTTAGTAGGGCCTGTACACAATGTTTTTAAGTTTCTGTTGTTGTTTTACCGTAGCTACTGTGTTGTACAAATTTTATGTTCTAATAATGGAGAAAACAATCTGGAACAGGCATATCAAAAAGCTCGAAGTGCGGATCCTTCGTATAAAGCTGCTGCGGAATTTCTTGCTATAGTTTTGACCGATCTTGGAACTAGCTTGAAGCTTGCAGGCAATACAGAAGATGGGATTCAAAAATATTGTGAAGCTCTTGAAGTGGATAGCCACTATGCGGTACAATCATCAACTCTAGCCGTTATTATTTTTGTCTGTCAATTTAGCATTGTGCTAATGTATACACCTGATTTATGCAGCCTGCTTATTACAACCTTGGGGTGGTTTATTCGGAGATGATGCAGTTCGACGTAGCTCTTACTTGTTATGAAAAAGCTGCATTGGAGAGACCATTGTATGCTGAAGCTTATTGCAATATGGGGGTTATTTACAAGAATCGGGGAGAGCTAGACGCAGCAATTGCCTGCTACGACAGGTAAATTTGCCATTATTTTGATATGAATTGTGCTGATATTCATAAAATAATCTACAACAAGAATGTGAAGTTCACCCGTGGCATGACTTTCCTGTACCCCAGGTGCTTGACTATTTCCCCCAACTTTGAGATTGCTAAGAATAACATGGCAATAGCACTAACCGACTTGGGTACAAAGGTGCGGACTTGTCCACTTCTACTGTTGTGTAAATTCTACCGCTTTCCATCAATTTTCATTTTGTTCTTTTACCGACTGTAACATGGCCTTCAAAGAGGATCATATACTCATATTCCATTGTTTACTCCATGCTATACAGAAGCTCAACTGCAATGGCATTCTCTTTTGTATACCTTTAGTTGTCTACTAGATAATTGCCCGTGCGTTGCAACGAGTGTAAATATTCTTTAATATGTTAGCCCATGATTACCTTCCATCTTAGTGTGATTATCTAAGTAATTGTTTATCAAATCATGCCCATGATTACCTTCCATGTTAGCCCATGATTACCTTCCATTAGTGTGATGATATAAATAATTGTTTAACAAATCATGCCCATGATTTACCTACCTAAATAACTTTTAGGATTTTATTTGGTAATCACTTAGTAAGAACTTATTGTCTTGCCAAAGAAAACATAATTTTATTTGGTAAATCAATAAAAGACAACAGGGAATGTGGAATGTTGGATGAAGGACGAGGTGGATGACAGAACCTTGCATCCTTTTTAAGTAGGAAGAGATAGTACCGACACTTTTTGTGTCTGGTTAAAGGCAACTGTTTGTGTTTGATTAAGGCACAACTATTTTTTTATTAATTATCATTTTAAACATCGGAGATGCTCAGGTTAAAATTGAAGGTGACATCAATCAAGGTGTGGCATATTACAAGAAAGCTCTGTTCTATAATTGGCACTATGCTGATGCAATGTATAATCTTGGTGTTGCATATGGTGAAATGTTGAATTTTGAGATGGTGAGTTACATGAAAATTCCATCAATTTGGTTCTACTATTAGCATTCACTTTTGGCTGACTTAATCAACTTGTGATTTTCATGAAGGCTATTGTTTTTTACGAACTCGCTCTGCACTTCAATCCTCGCTGTGCGGAGGCATGCAACAACCTGGGAGTAATATACAAGGATAGGGATAATCTCGACAAAGCCGTTGAATGTTATCAAGTGAGTGCATGCAATTCTGTTCATGTTTATTAGAGTCGTGTTTACTTATTGCCTATTTCCTTCTTTTTGTAGATGGCCTTGTCAATTAAGCCAAATTTCTCCCAGTCATTGAATAACCTTGGAGTTGTCTATACGGTTCAGGTATGTTCCTCTATCATTATTGATTTATTACATTCTTACTGTGGTTGACTGGTTACATTGCATTTTTAGCTTACTGAAATACATTTTTCATATTTAGGGCAAGATGGATGCTGCTGCAAGCATGATTGAGAAGGCCATACTTGCAAATCCCACTTATGCTGAAGCATACAATAACTTAGGTAATGAACAATCAACCTCTGTCACTTTAGAGACTTAATACTAGCATGTCATTTGAAATCTGTTCCAGCTAAGAATCCATGACGGCTCTGTGACCACCAATCATCTTTTATAGTTGTACCATACACGATGAGGATACATTGATGCATGAGTATGCATGTATTTAGATAAAAATAAACACCATGCAGGCAGTATTGAACGATGGACGGTGTACAAATGAGTAGCCTTGAACAGTCAGCTATAAAATAGTATTCCCTCCGTTCACTTTTATAAGAGGTCCTAACTTCTTCCTGAATCGGACGTGTATATAGACGCGTTTTAGTGTGTTTTTTCACTCATTTCAGTACGTATCTAGTCCATATTGAAATATCCAAAACATCTTATAATTCGGAACGGTGGTAGTAGTAAACAGGGGACAGGGTGGCCATTAGGGGTTTGCTAGTTTTGCTGATTTCGTTGGACTTCTGTGGCCTTCCAAAGTGTCAAGGAATATCAGGATTTATTTTAATTTGTTTTGGAAATCAAAATTCCTCGATATTCCCCAATGTGTGTACCTCCTACTTGTCCACGAGCAATGGGTACAAGTATGGAAGCTTTGCAAAAATTAATTTATTTGAATGTTCTTTTTAACATCGATTAGGCGTTTGTGAAGTAACTGACAGTTCACCATTACCTGTCATAGGTGTTCTTTACAGAGATGCTGGAAGTATTACGTTATCTGTACAGGCATATGAAAGATGCCTTCAAATTGATCCTGATTCACGAAACGCCGGTCAGGTACTTTGTGAGGCCTCAAGCTTGTTATTTAAGCTATCTTCCGTACTCTTGTATGTCGCTATATGAAACTGTATAGCTTACATTCTCTCCATACATGGTAGACTAACAGAACAACTCTTTGCAGAACCGTTTGCTTGCCATGAACTATATTGACGAGGGCTCAGATGACAAGCTTTATGATGCTCACAGGTCAGTTTATGCACTGTTTGCAATGAAAGTGCCATTTCTATGTTACCATGATGCTAATACTATTCAGTATTAACTCGATATTTTGCAGGGAATGGGGAAAGCGCTTTATGAAATTGTATGCACAGTATACTAGTTGGGATAACATAAAAATCGCTGATCGTCCACTGGTCATTGGTTATGTGTCTCCTGATTTTTTTACTCACTCTGTGTCTTACTTCGTTGAAGCCCCGCTTACACACCATGATTACACAAATTGCAAGGTGGTCGTCTATTCTGGTGTTGTGAAGGTATAGACAATTTGTTCCTTGCTAGCTATTCTGGATTTTGGGCACACAGTGACAATCAACTTATTTTGGCTGACTTGCTACCCCTTTTTAACTAAACAAAAACATGAATCCAGTGTCCAACAGCCTAGAGAATTTATCTATCAAAATTAATTTGGTAACACGAGATATACAGACTAGAAAATAAGTAACTGCAATGTGAAGCTATCAAGGTGGATCTGGGGTTATTTCATCATTTATCCTTCTGTTCACACACGGTCTTTTTTCTGATCATATTTTTTATTATTGATGATTCTCTAGGCAGATGCCAAGACCCTTCGATTCAAGGATAAGGTGTTAAAAAAGGGCGGGGTCTGGAGAGATATATATGGTATTGATGAAAAGAAGGTTGCTACCTTGGTCAGAGAGGATAAAGTGGATATACTTGTGGAACTTACTGGTCATACAGCAAATAATAAACTAGGAACAATGGCGTGCCGGCCTGCTCCTATTCAGGTATTTGTGTTCCACGTGGCATTTCAACGACTTAACTTTATTTTCAGAACAGCTTGCTATGAGCAGTTTTATGCCTATTATTATGTTCTGGGAGCTTCTATTTGTCCCCTTCCATCCCTATCCACTCAAATCATTCCAAGTAGTTTGATCAATGTGTCAATTGCTATCTGACTGTTTTGCTGAGAAGGGCCTTTCTAACTTGGGTATGTATGTCCTTACAGGTTACATGGATTGGTTACCCTAATACGACAGGTTTACCAGCAATTGACTACAGAATAACAGATTCATTGGCTGATTCTCCTAATACAAACCAAAAGTATGCCAGATGCTTTTCATGTAGTTATTCTGTCATGCAGTTTCTCCCTATGCGTCTAGAACCTCATAGTAACGACTGTCTGCAGGCATGTTGAAGAGTTGGTGCGCCTTCCTGAAAGTTTTCTTTGTTACACTCCTTCTCCAGAAGCTGGGCCAGTTTGTCCCACACCAGCAATCTCAAATGGTTTTGTCACGTTTGGTAGTTTTAACAATCTAGCAAAGGTGCATAACAGATTTGAACGCTTTATTTTATCTCTATTGAATCACTCTGTTCATAAAGTTATTTTTGGCAGATCACACCGAAAGTTATGCAAGTTTGGGCCAGAATATTATGTGCAGTCCCTAACTCACGGCTTGTGGTTAAGTGCAAGCCATTCTGCTGTGACAGTATACGACAGAAATTTTTATCGACACTTGAGGAGTTGGGTTTGGAGTCACTACGAGTTGATTTACTACCACTCATCCATCTCAACCATGACCACATGCAAGCATATTCCTTAATGGACATCAGGTGAGAAGTTGTTTCACTTGTAATATACTCCATCCGTTCCGAAATAGATGACTCAACTTTGTACAAAGTTAGTACAAAGTTGGGTCATCTATTTTGGAACGGAGGGAGTAGTTGTGTTATATACTCATATATAGGATCTTCTATGTCAAGTCTTGCATGTTTGTCAGGGTGTGCGTTTATATGTAATCTTTAGATCCATGCCAATAAATATCATTATCCTACATTGATCACTGGCAAATCCTTACTATTTTCGCGTGAATATTCAGAAAATGTGTTCTCCATTATCGGTGTTCCTCTGAAGCTGATTGAACTTCCATTTGTGTTTTTGCAGCCTAGATACGTTTCCATATGCTGGGACTACCACTACATGTGAATCTCTTTACATGGGGGTTCCATGTGTTACAATGGCTGGTTCAGTTCATGCTCATAATGTTGGTGTTAGCCTACTCACTAAAGTTGGTACGTTCTAACAATAGGCGGACATGAATTTTTATTTATTTTTCTCCTGCCTAGTTATTTATTTTTTCACCGTCTAGTTCCATCTGTTATTATGGAACCTAAAAAAGGGGACCTGTATATTGTTGTTATATAAACATAGGGAATTGTCTGACTGAGAATTATTTGTTGCAGGGTTGGGGAGGCTGGTTGCCAAAACGGAGGATGAATATGTTAGCTTGGCACTGGAGTTGGCATCAGATGTAAGTGCCTTAGAAGAACTGAGGAAGAGCCTCCGGGAACTGATGATAAAATCACCAGTTTGTGACGGAGAGAGTTTCACACGCGGCCTGGAATCTGCATACCGAAGCATGTGGCATAGGTACTGTGATGGGGATTCACCAGCTCTCAGGCGCTTAGAAGTGTTGGCGGGCGAAGACTTGGACAAGACGGCTGTGAAACTTGTAGATCTTAAAGCACAGAGAGCGAATGCTACTGCAGAGGAAGATAACCAGTCCCCAATAAAGAAGGTTGACGCCATGTCCAAGGGAGGTGAGCCCCAAATAATGGCAAACGATGTGAGTTCACCTGAAGGTAACCAGGCCCTCGTGACGGCGAAGGCGCAGCCCCAAATAATGGTGAATGGTGTGAGTTCACCTCACTCCCCTTCGGGGAGATGCGAAGCAAATGGGCATAGCAGCCGATGACCAATGGGAGGCTCCATTGATGCAGGCACACACTGATGTATTATAGGTTGAGATTTGCCATTGATGTATCGTCAGGAAGTCGCTGCTGGGGGTCAATATAGGTGTTCTGGTTGTTGACCCTGGAAACGGATGTGGTTGTGAAACACTGGTGACCCCTGACTTGTAGCCAGATGTAATATAATTCGTGGGGGATGCTTAGTCTGATTTGTAGATCAAGGTGTATGAGTAAAGAGTATATGCCAAGTTGAGTTGGCATGGTAGAAACAGAGAGAAAGGCGTTGGTTGTATATGTAGGAACAGCTTCTAGATTCTCTAAAATTTAACTGAGGCTATTTCAACTTCGATTCTCTTGAGTTTAACTGTTTTTGTCTTCAGTTTCTTGTCTTTTTGACCATGCAACCTTGATGAGTTTAACTGTTTATTGGCAGGGAGGAGCTGCGTACATGATTTTGTAATTAAAAGCTTTGCGATCTTGTAGAATGATAACAAAACTCATGTAAAACAGGAGTAAATTGCAAAAAGAAAAAACACCACCATTGTTCTCTGACAGGTGGGTCCTGTTGTCAGGTGCCATGTGGAGCAATGCCGCGTGGAGGTGGAAGGCCTACGGGTTGTCAACTTCTTTTCTCGGAGAAGAAACAATGACGACATTTGAAGAATAAGCATCGGCTAACTCTGTGCTAGCAGTCACGGTAAGACAGATGATGCAAGCATTATTCAGAATGATTGAGCGTAAAGTGTATGTAGGTGGCTTTTCAGGGTGACGTCGTACGGTGACGCCGTACTCATGGCGCTAAGGTTCATGTTAGAAAAAAAGGTTTCACAAGTCCAACTCACAACCGTCGCACCGCCTCGCACCCGTCGGCAAGCTTGCCTTGCAGCGTCGCCGCCCCGTGCTAGGCCGCGCCCTCACCGCCGCCTTCCTTCCCCTAGGCGTGTCGCCGCCACCTATTATAGGGCGAGCCACCCGACGCTGTGGAGCACTCATCGGGTATGACTCCAAGGGCTTCGGGAGGTCGAAGAAGACCCGAGGAAGCGACAGTAAGAGCCGGGGACCAACGATGGTGGCGAATCGGGTGAGGTGGCCGGCGAACAGAGCCGGGGAAGACGAGATGGTGCGGTTGATTCGCGGCGGCTTGATGCAGTTTCTTCGGTAGAGATAAGCTGGTGGGCGAGGTAGAGCTCCCTGGCATGGTTGCAAGGCGAGAAGGATACATTGGCCGGTAATTGTCAAGAGCCCAACTAAAGGCGTTCGTTGCAAAAAGGGAAAAAACTTGAAGGCTTAGGGCATCTCCAATGTTGACCTGCAAATTTGCTCCGGTATCCGTTCGCAGATAGGGAGGACCAGTCCGCAGACACTGATGCCGGAGGTCGCCATCCAACGCTGGCCACATACATTTTAAACACCTTTTCAACTAACTGAATGAAATTCATGCAAACATGATGGATTTTCATATAACCTGGACGACATTCATGCAAACATGACAGATTTTCATTACCTTCCAACATTTAGAAAAAAAATGCTCTGACCCTGAACCTATCTTACGGCGATGGCCGTCGCCCTCTTTGTATTCCGCATCGGCGACCACGTCCTCCATATGCCGTCTTCATGAAGAAGGGGAGAGGCTCAAGACTCGTGAAGTGGAGATGCGATCTCCTGCGAGGAAGAGTAGAACATGGGAGACGGACCGGCCCACTTGGGACACAATGCCCTGCGGCCTCACATGCCCTACTCATCCTTGGAGTCCGTGACCTATCCATAACCAGCGCCGGTGGACACGAGGTCGATGATGGACGTGGACGGTCCGTCACTGTCCACCTGCCACATGCGCCCTGAAAGTTGGACGGCGGCGCGCAGGACGCGCAGTTGGCACGGTGGGACTGCCAGGCGGCTGTAAGGGCACCCACCTCATTCTTCATCTCCAGCGGCAAACTATTTCACAGAGCGTGACCACTCATGGTCATGGCAGATGTGGAGCAAAAGAGGAGAATGTGTTCTGGTGTGAAGTTAGTTGGGTATGGCCACCTTTAAATAGCGGATTTCGGTGAGGCCAAGCGTCTGGGTGCGTCAATGCACGGCGCCAAAGCTCGTTCCTCGGCCAGCGAGTCAGCTTAATGGCGGCATACGAACGGACGGACATTTAACGGGTGTGGTAGATACCCGTCCCATCCCGTACCCCATATGTCTCTCCAGCATTGAACAGGCGCAGACAACGGGGACACGAGCCGGGCGATGCTCTTGACCGGCACACTGCTTCCATGCTGGCTTCAGTGAGAGTCGTGTCCACTCTGGGCCGACATTAATGCGGAGCGGCCCGCTCTACAGCGGCATGAATGCAGGCACCTAGCATCGAGCGGGAATGCATGCGGGTGCGGGAGGAGAGTTTTTGATGGGCTAGGGTAGTCAGGAGCGGATGTGGTAGCGGTCCAGGCGCTCGCAAAGCCCCCCCCACTTTGCTTTTGGTTTGCGGGAAAAAGTGCATCCAGACCGCTCGCGGATAGACACAGAACCACATTGAATGGCTTCGGTTTTTCGGACAACGCGGTCCGGATGGCATTTTGAGGGTTGACATTGAAGATACCCTTAGCCCAATACGGTACGCCTTCTTCTTTTAACAACCTCCCATTTTTGCTAACACTGCATTTGGATGTCTACATTGAAAGGGCTGGAAACGGACTTGGTATATTCCGAAATTTCAATTCACCTGTTTGGCTGGACACTGAATTGGCAGTCCGTAAGGAAACCAACTTCAGGTTGAATCGACTCCCACGTTAAGTTCCCTGCCCGTAATACGAAGGGCCCCACCTCCGATTTGCGTTGAAATCACTCAGTCCGTAAGAGTATCTACAACCGGACTTTGCAAATCCGGCCCCTTAAACACTTGCGGACGCGTCCGTGGACACTAATCGGGCACTCCTCAAAAAAAAAAAATTTACATTCGAACACCTCAATTACCATATCTCAAATTCATACAAACTCATGCAACTACATTGACACACACACATCGTCCGGCTACTTCATCACACTACACTAAACATGCCATCGGACTACCAAAATTTGGCATGTTTGCCTATGGTGGAGTTCATCCACGGCTGCCCTTGCCCTTCCCGGTGCCCTTGTCGTTCTTCTCGCGGAAGTACCGGTCGAAGATGCAGTATGGACCGAGTCGGATCTGCTCGTCGCCGGAGCTGTCCTTGCTATCATTGTCCTCCTTCTCCTCCTTTGGTGGCAGTCCGGCCATGGCACGGACCGTCCGATTCTGCTCTCGGGTGAGGGCATGCGTGTTCCTCTGCTGTCATTTCTTCACAATGTGGGCGCAGATGGCTTCCTCCTCTACGGCCGCCCGCACCACCGCATCAGCCGCCTCCGCCGCCGCCATTTCTGCCGCGATATGGGCCTCGGTGGCCCTTATCCTCTCCTTCCCACGGCGTGCCGCCCGTTCCCGGTGGGACTCATAGTCTGCCCGGCCGGTGATGGGGAAGGAGAGGTGTTCCGACTGCCGGGACCGCGAGGATCCAGCACCAGAGGACCCGAGCACCCGGTGAGCCGACGCTATGGTGTCCCAGCGGACGAATCCGTCCATCGGTCGGGCCTGTCCTCCCGAGAGCGACGAAGTGCAATGCGGACTGCTATTGCCTCCTCCAACCCACATGGAATGACACCCCAGTCGACGGATCCAGACTAGTTGGAGTCTGATCCGTTGTCTGCCATGGCGAAGAAGGCCGAAATCCGCTAGAGGTGAGCTCGGATGGCGGAGGGGAGTGGAGTGAAGTGGCTAGGGTTTGCTCCGGCGAGCGGTGGGGACAAATATAAGTGGGATCGGGTGGGCTAGCATGGGCCGGTTCTGAAGGAAATATGCCCTAGAGGCAATAATAAAGTTGTTATTTTATATTTCTTTATTCATGATAAATGTTTATTATTCATGCTAGAATTGATTAACCGAAAACTTGATATATGTGTGAATACATAGACAAAACACCGTGTCCCTAGTATGCCTCTACTTGACTAGCTCGTTAGTCAAAGATGGTTAAGTTTCCTAGCCATGGACATGTGTTGTCATTTGATGAACGGGATCACATCATTAGGAGAATGATGTGATGGACAAGACTCATCCGTTAGCTTAGCAGAATGATCGTTCAGTTTTATTGCTACTACTTTCTTCATGTCAAATGTATATTCCTCAGACTATGAGATTATGCAACTCCCGGACTGTTGGGGAACGTTGTAGAAAATTAAAATTTTTCCTACGGTTTCACCAAGATCCATCTATGAGTTCATCTAAGCAACGAGTCAAGGGAGAGAGTTTGCATCTACATACCACTTGTAGATCGCGTGCGGAAGCTTGCAAGGTGATGATGTAGTCGTACTCGACGTGATTCAAATCACCGATGACCAGCGCCGAACGGACGGCACCTCCGCGTTCAACACACATACGGGACGGGAGACGTCTCCTCCTTGATCCAGCAAGGGGGAAGGAGAGGTTGATGA